GAACATGACATTGCTGAGGCACAGCAGCAGCGTGGAGAGGAGCTGGAAGCCGTAGGAGAAAGCCTCGGCGTTGTCTGTGCAGCCCCAGCCGTTCCAGCCTGTGGCCGGGGAGAGCCACCGTCACCCCTGCAGCATTCGCAGGGGCTGGGGAGGGAGTGGGGAAACTCCTTTCCAGCACCCTGAGGAGAGCTGGTGCGGGGGGACTAATGGGGTGCACAACCGCTGGGGAGAAGGGAAGGATGCCGGAGGGGTCCCTGGGTGCAGCGGGAGCCATGGGTGCCCGGGGAAGCTCTCACCAGCTTTGCACTCGCAGGCGGCATACAGGTAGTTGTTGGTGCGCAGCAGCTTGCACTGGCCATAGATACCGCAGTCGTTGATGCAGGGCGAGAGGTAGGTGCGCAGGTACACCTCAGCTGTCACGTTGGTGCAAGGCTCAAACCTGCAGCGCAGGAGAAGGGGCTCAGCCCTCACCCTGTGCCCCTCGAGCAGCTCCTGCCTCCACCAGCGGCACCAGTCGCACCCAGACTTGGCAGGTGATGGGAGACCCAAGGACTGGGTGAGCATGGAAATGAGCTGCTTTGGTACTACATATGGCAGCTGAGAGCGGCTCCCCAAAGATCTTGAGTGCTGCAATTGTCTGTGCCAGGCTGGGCAAACAGGAGGAATGTGGCCATGCTTAGACCCACTTTGCCTTTAGCAACACACTCAGCTGGCTCTTATTTCATTTGGATTTTGCTGTGCAAACACCATGCCCTGCAATGTCTGTGTGCGACTCTGTCAGGGAAGGAACGACTGCAACTGGCAACTCAGCATGGACTAGAAATGCAGCGGAGGAATCGGAGCAGGCACAGCACCCTCACTGCCCCAGGCCACCCATGCACAAGGCTCTGCGCACACCCAGCCCCTTGGCAGCTCCAGCACACAGGAGCACAGACAAGCCCTCGTCCCGACAGCACGCACCAACTGCTGCCTGTGCTCACACAGGCACCCCAACATGCACAAACATGCACAGAGCCCCATCTGTGCACATGCACAGGGTGCATCTGCACATGTGTCTGCTGTCCCTGCATGTGCTCACACAGTCAAACCTGCACACATGTGCACGCAGAACACACACAGGCCCGTCTGCTTGCACAAAACCCGAACATGCACACAGAGCTGTCTGCACGTGTGCACCCAGACACGCTTGCAGCGCTGTCTGCATGCATGCACCAAATGTGCATGCAGCACCATCCGCATCCACGCACCAAACAGCCAGTGCTGTGTACATGCATGCACTGAACGTGCAGGCAGCACCGTCTGCACGGCACAGAGCCCCACATGGGCTCTCGTACATACAGACACATGAGCACAACAGCCCCTCTCCTTCACGGGGCTCTCAGGCAGACACATGGGCCAGGACTAGAGCTGCAGACACAGGACCAGTCCGTAGAGATGCTGAGCAGAGCAGGGGCACAGCAGCCTGACCAGAGCTGCTCCCTCATATGCACAGCCAAGCCCTGTCCTCGCAGTGACATCCCAGTCCCCTCCCGGGCACGGGTACAGATGGGCACTGCCGCAGAGACAGGCAGGCACCAACAGATGCACGGCATTCGCAAGATGACAGGCGCTTCCTAACCGAGAGACAGAGGGAAGAGCTGCGGGGACCCACAGATGGTCAGGCAGGCGCAAGATAAGAGCCATCCGTGCCCACGCAGGCACTCACACGGTGACACACAGCCCGCGAAGCCACGTGCACACACGTGACCGGTGACACGCAGCACAGGGGCCAGGCACACCCACGGACCCACAGTGCACATGGATGCGGGCCATGGTGAGGACATCCCCTCTGGGCACGCAAGGAGGGCACATGCCGGGGCTCTTACCCGTGCTCCGTGGCACAGAGAGAACGCAAGCTCAGGTACCAGCTGCCCGTCTGGGGGTAGGGGATCCGCAGGCGGCTGAGGCTGGCCGTGGCGTTGACAGAGAGCAGGAAGCCTGCCAGGGACTCTGCGGGCAGGGAGACCTCCAGGTGAGCAGGGCAGGGAGCAGCCTCTTCCCCTGGGCACAGCTGGGAAAGCATGCCCTGTGCCAGGCTCCGTGGCCAGATTCCCCCCACGATCTCTGCCTTCTCCCACTCAGCCTCTCGCTGAACACATGAAAGGGTGTGACCCCCATGGCCACGGCCGGACGGACAGGCACAGCCCAGCTTACCCGTCTCGCAGGTGACCGATGCGTTGTCACCGGACATCAGTGGGACTTCATGGTTCAGACAGCCGAATACCGTCACATTCTCGCCACACAGGGAGCTCTGACGGCAAAGGAGGAGATGGCCCTAAACCAGTGCCAGGGCTGTCCCCTGCTCTGACAGCACCCGGATGACGGCACACCACCTAACCCACTGCCCATCACCCAGGAACATCCCAAATTCAGGCCATCATCTTGCCCTTAGAGCATCCTAATCTGTGCTCCATCACCCAAGAACACCCCAAATCCAGGCCATCATCCTGCCCTTATTGCCTCTTAATCTGTGCTCCATCACCCAAGAACACCCCAAATCCAGGCCATCATCCTGCCCTTATTGCCTCTTAATCTGTGCTCCATCACCCAAGAACATCCCAAATCCAGGCCATCATCCTGCCCTTATTGCCTCTTAACCCGTGCTCCATCACCCAGGAACACCCCAAATCCAAGCCATCATCCTGCCCTTGGAGCACCCTAATCTGTGCTGATCACCCAAGAGCTCCCAAACCATGACCCATGACCCAAGACCGCCCCGAAGCCTGCCCCTCACCCTGCTGCAGCCCCGACATCACCCATCTCCCAGCCCGTCCCCCCCGGGCTGCCCTGCCCCGTCCGGGGCGCAGCGTGGCCACCTCACCACATTGAGCCGCAGCTCCAGGTTGAGCACCCCACCACTGTCCAGCACCGGTAGGAGGTTGATGACAAAGACAGCGGGGCGGTCAGGTGGCACTGACACGTTGGGCCCGAAGAAGATGTAGAAGTGGACGGAGAAGGTGTCCAGCTCATTGCGCAGTGTGGGGCGGACTGGCCAGCAGCGCTCACCAGAAGACGAGGGCCTGGGGGTT